AAGAGGCGGGTCCACGGAAATAATTGAGTGCTTAGTGGCAGCTGCGTATTCCGCAGAGCGTTGTCGGTTTACAGCAGAGAGAGAGAGAGTAGTACCCTGAACCGGCACAACACTCCTTAGATAAGCAACCGCTACCGCACTCTAAACTATTCAGCGGACACGCCCTCTCCGGACGCCACGGTATGAGCTGTAATCATAGTTCAGCACATGATTACATGCACATCTTCCTAGAAATTGACCCTTTGTGAATCAGCATCACAGTTTCAGTCCGCCGGCACGCCCCTTCTCTGCGCCGTGATAGGGACTACTCATGGCACCCTTTACAACAAACCAAAGCACTAGTGGACTCGGGAAGGGGCCAAGAACATGTCACGCAGTCTCGGTAAGGGCGTGGAGACAAGTAAACATAACGTAGCCTAGCTCGAGTGGCTCCTCTCGGAGCACATTGCACTCACGGCAATTCCTAATTTCTTAATCCAATCGATAGTTCTTCAGCTGAAGTCCGTTCTGGGTCATGTTAAAACTGCAAGAATGGGACAAAAAAGCAGAACCCTGAAGTTCAATTTCGCCATGTTTAGCGAAAGGGCTTGGTCATCCTACAGCTGCCGAACACCTTTTTACAATAGCGTTTGTTTCCTGAGAACAACACGAATAAACCATTTCTTGGCATTGCAGAGGGCGTGTTCACGGACAGCGCGATGGCTGCGTATTCATGGAATACTGCTAGTTCAGGGGAGCAAGCCAAACAGCTTGTGTATGAAAGAAAGCACAAGACACGGGAAAACGTTGAACACCTGCCTTTCTACAATGACAAATGCCCGAAACCGATAACATTCCATAGATGCGCAACCTTCACAGCGCTCACAACCCTGTCCGTGGACACTCCTCCTCCAGCGCCAAGATACGAACCCCAACAAGCACGCGTCAAAGCTGCAGTTCGAAAAAAATGTTATCACAGCAGCAGTTCGAAAAAAATGTTATCACAGCAATGTAAACGGTTAGAATAATGGTTAGGACCTGTTGCCATCACAGAGCGAGTCATGGACACATTACGTGAAAAGAATGCGGGCGATAGCAAAGCGGTTATGTGCGAAGCGCATTAGTTAAATAGCTGACTGCAACATAAACCAAGAACAAAATATCCATGCAATATGTGAAAAATGTCAACATTGCGGATGTTGGGTTCGTATAGACAACAAGCTCTCATCATTACTAGAACATTACTTTACCACCTTGACAGATTCTTTGCTGTACCCATTAATGAACACACTACCATCGGAAAACCCGGGAAAAAAATCAATAATGTAAGCATATGTAAAGAACTTACCTCCTATATACAGAACTCCTGACGAAAATTCAGCAGAATAACCCATATTGATCAACAGTTGTTTCATTTCGGAAAGTTTCGGATCATTGACGTAGACCACCTGTAAAAAAGGCAATCAGGTCACTTAAAAGATGTCAAAGGCACTGGTAAACCAAAATTAAGCTCGAGTTTTGAAAACTAAAACTACAAGTTCCAAAAATAAAAATCCAACGGTATCAAAAGTTTCGGCACTCACATCTCGGAACGGCGCATCACCACTCAAAGCGCTCAACATGCACTTATCAATGTGTTGATCAGTATCCATCGGTTGTACATCTGACTAAATCGATAAAATCAGTACTTATCCCTTGCAACTAGTAGCAAATATGTAAAGAAGACCAATGTTCGATAAGTTACATTAAGGCAAGAAACACGAAAGGTCTCTTTTCCCTTTGCTATACAGCCCTGAAGGCATGGGTAGTCACAAGGCCAGTCGACAATGAGAAACCCTCGCCCTTCACGAGCGCGCTGGGCATGCCCCGAGGGGAAGTCGGTCTAGGTCGGCTCATTTTTTTTCATTTTTTTTCGATTCCCTTCGGTCGCTACCGGTGCCTCCTGTGGGTTCCCCTAAAGCTACACCATGGCAGGAACTTCGCCTTCATCATGGTGTGACCTCTAATTCCACAGGATTTGGCAAAAGTACACCACCCTTCCCAAGCCGACCAGCGCCGTGGAAAGCCTACGTAGCAGTATAGAAAAGTGAAAAACGTGAAATACTAACGTCCGTGCCGTTCTCTCTCTCCAGTCCTATCTCTGCTGGTCTGGCCGTGATTTGAGCATCTATCCAAGCCAAATCAGCATCTTTCACCTAAATTCAAAAATACTGGTGACAAATAAGAAGCGTACGAAACACACATTTTCGTATGCGCTGGTGTAGTCAGAGAGTCGGAAGAGTGGGTATTCCCCGTAATCTTGTCATGGATCCACGAGAATCTCCGTACTCTCCGACTGTTTGAAGCCCCAAGGAAAAATTTCGCTCACCTTTATGAACTCAAGGCTTTCAAACAGCTCATCACTCAGTAATATTCGGTAGATATGAGAAGCTACGGTGGCATCAACAACTTCACCAACAGAAGGCGCGAAGATATGACCCTGACAATGGATGACAAATTAGTTAAAGTTACTCAATTTCAGAGCTTGAAGGAAACCATTCACAATTTTCTACGGAAAACGATAATCGCCCTACTTCCAGCAAGGTTATTCATGGTTTTCCAAGGCACATGCCGCAATAATCGGTGGGCGGATATAGAGAACCGTTGAGCCCTATGCCTCCCCCCCCCCCTTCTGGGATACTAAACACGAGAGATGTTCTCCATCTGCCCCCATATAATCAGAGTGGAATGTTTTTTGAGGGCCTGTCTGCCATGGAAACTATTCTAAAAGTTACCTGTGCTATATTGTTATCGTAGCAGTATTGAGCGAGGTGTCGTGTGGCTTGCGCTGAACCGTGGACAATAATCAGTTGCTTCGGTTTCATTTGAGCGATGAGCTTCTTCGTTGATTCACCGTCTGAGCGACCTTCGAACTCAATGTACTCCACGTTACAGCTGACCTATCAAAGAAGGCATCAGCTCATTTTTCACAATTTCAAACATTATTGACAAGTTCTAGGGAAAAAATCATAGGAAGTGCATTACGGGCAGTATACACGCTGACCGCATGGGCAGCGACAAAGAATCATGGCATCTAACTGACTGGTGCTCCTCTCCTTCAAGCGCGGTAGAACGGAGGCAAAAGCAAAGGCTTCATGAATCACAAGATTATAAGCTCTGGATAATGGGGGCTTACAGTATCCCGAAACTTCGCGCAAAACTTGAAAGGGTCGATTGTGCACACAATCGGCTGTACCGCAATTCTTTGGCGTCCGATTCAACTACCCAGGTTGAGGCACTGCCTGGCTGGTGTAATTTTCATCATTGACCAGAATCGGGCGCAGAGCGGGGAAGCTCCAGAGCGACGCTGCCAAGAGAGGGCGGCGTCATTCACTGGAGTGGGCAGGACAATCGTAACTTGTCGCGTCATCGCACGCGGCATACCGTGCGAATACGCGGTAAATTCTGAAGTGTATAAGTTCGTCGATTGGAGCAGCGAAACTAATACGAATTTAAGTGGGGACAAGGACGTCATGGGAGATATTGAATTCTCCCGTTTTTTTGCACCTAAATTCAAAGGGGTGGATAAGACGCCCTCACCGCAGCGGCGGCACTTGCCACGCCACCAGGGCGGCATATTGCGATTGTCTTGTCACGCACCCGCTCTTCACCTGCATCCATAGATCGTGCTGACAGTGTTGCGTAGGCGCTCAATAGGAAATGTTGTAAGCGTTCACGGGATCGATGGGTTTTAAATCAGTTTTAAGATACTGTACACTCCCACTAATCCTGTGCACGCTTACATACCAATGCCTTTTTGCCTCCTCCCACATTATAAGCATAGCGTATGCGTCTTTATACAAGCTTAATGAGTGGCGGAGCCAATGACGTCACCAACCTCAATTTTTTCTATAACTGTGATACACTTTGTGGGAGCATCATCCGCTATTGGCACCGCCATATTTGCCGTCGGATCATCCGCTTCTTTGATAATCTCTTGTGGAACGGGAAGATGGACCCGAAGTTTCGATACTGTGTAATCTTCTGGCCTGTACTTCTCACCGTAGACATCCCACTGGAAAACGCTCAAATGTGATAGGCCATGTGTTCTATAAAAAAAAATCGAACTTACCTTGACTTTTTCCTCCAAAACGGGATACATTGGAAGAAGGATCGGCATGAACCTTTTGAAGAACGGCATCCTAGAGTAAAATATTCAAAGCTACAACAAGGACAGCCTGATGAATTGTACACAAAG